TAGATGTCCCTCACTGGTATCTGGTCACTTGTTGCTTTGGGTGCAAGAACCATACGAGTGTGAGCACCAGGATCCAACCCTATGTAAAAGATGACTGCTTCCTTGTGGTCTCTACTGGAATCACACATGTGACGTTTCGACGTTTATTCAGAATGCTCTGTACTAAGTTTACGATCAATGGAGGCGGGGAGAAGAATGGTATTTTTTTCATCGCTGTATCACTAATAGAGATTTTTTGGCACGTTTTCACCAACTGGTATATGTAGTATACGTGGAGGGAAAAGACGGGGAGTTCAAACGCAAAATCTCGATTTATTTAATTGAATCATCTTCAAACCATGTGTCAGTATCATTTGCTTCTTCAGCTGATTTACCGATACAAAAAAAAACAAAAAAAACAAACAAATGTACAGTGTTCTCGTGTTGGCAGTGGACTGCCGTAAAAACTAGGTTGTCTCCGTCGAAATGTGTTGATGGACTGAGAAGTCAGTACAAACTGGTCTTGATTCCGGGTAGAGAGTGAGCAAACAGTAAAAGTGACGGCATGGCAGAATGTACATAAATCATTTTGGTCGAATACTATTCCTAAAATAAAATCCGGCACGCCGTTTCACAAATCCGATTTGATCAGGTGACTGAAATACTTCAAATCGCTTTGTGAATACTGTAGGTGCTAGTATTTTACATTAACAATGCATCAAGCGAGAATTCTGCTTGTAGTACCCGCCACAGGCCCGTAGCCAGCACTTTTAAATAGGGGGTTTGAAAACAACAATAATATATTTGACATGAAACGTGTAAATTTTATAATATTCAAAAAGTGTATTTAAGCTCTGTTACAGACATTTTTATATTACTTTGTGTTACGTTGATAAATTATTTCACATAACATCTATGAACTATTTTACCATTTTAGATAAGGGTTCCTGAGCCATTCCCCACCCACAAACACAAACACACCCACACCCTACATACACTACGGCAAAATGTTGTACATCAAACCGACAAGACTGTACGTATCTTAGCATTATTGTCTAAGCATTTTAGGGCAGAATGCTACTCACGAGTTTTTCGCTCTTTGCAGATGTTAGCACACATAAAAGTGACACGATTTCATGTCGAAATCTGTCTACAATTATTCATTTTAATATTAGTCAATTTTTTATTATGTAATTTTAATTCTGTACAGGGCCTCAGCCCGTCGTACAAAATGTAATGAGTAGAAAAGTGCATAGCACATTTTAAAAAACAATACAGCATCCATGTAAACATATGGTTCTAAGTTAAGCTGGATTCATAATCATCTCGTCGCTTGAAAACTTTCAAAAGATACAGAGCTAGTTGATATATGGTGTGACAGTTTGTATAGCGACGAAGTAAGCCCAGACTGTCAGTATTTGCATAATTTCATAGGGTTGACAAAAGATCAGCCCGTAGATCATTGAAAATGGACATATAAAAACAAAGTGAATTTCATTTTCTACCATGCTAAATTCAAACGTATCACTGCAAAAACTAAAAATTGTGTGTGTCTGCCTAATTCAACATTATGTTTATGGCCAAAACAGCGAAAACTCGTCAGTATCTCCCAGGTTTTAATACTACTTTGATTTTTTCGAAAGTACACAGCCTTGATGATTTTGAAATTGAGGCATGCCATTCTTGCTGACAACAATGTTTTATTCTTTGAGTAAATATCTCTAAGAAATTTGCAAACCAAACAACAGTGGCGGATCCAGCAAAATGTATTGGGGGGGGGGGCAAGCTTCGCTTAATATTACGGAGCGTAAGTCGCAAGAAACTATGCGTAACCCAGATGATATGAATCGTCAAAAGTTTGGGGGGCATGCCCCCCCCCTCTGGATCCGCCACTGCCAAACAATGCCGAAACCATATTTGAACAGGAGATTTTTATGTGGGCTTCCCAAGTGAGTCTGCCGGTCTTGTCTAATCGTTTAAGCATGACATGCCATGTTTTGGTGTTCAAGCTATTTTTTAATCAATATGAGGTACAACGCTTAAAATAACCACTGCATAATGGCAGCCTTCCACATTCGTCCAACATCGCTACATTGTTTGTATGACTATTAACGCTAAGTTGTCTGTACCCTTTCGATTTCCGAATTTACGTACCCCCATATCGCTACAATAAAAAATAGCTGGCACAATGATTGCATCAAACAAATTGAATGCACTAACCAATGGCATTTCTTACAGTATAAATTTGTTGGTTCACTGTAAATCTGTTTTTAGAGGGCGGTAAAATAATATGCATATAGTGGCAGTTTAGCAGCGGTCTCAATAGACTTCAATGACTACATCTACTTTTTATGAACCCACTAAAAATATAGTGAATTTTCGAAGACATCAAAAAAAAAACGTGTAAAAAAATATGTTTGAAAAATATGATTCATCGCATAGTTTCAGTGCTGAAGCAACACTGTGGGGTAAATTGTTAGCTGCAAGAAGTTGTTCGACCTATATAACTCGTGATGATAAATCTTCGGCATTTGTTTAATGATATGTTTGTCAAGAATTTGTTTTTGCGTATCTGTTAACCGACTTAATTAGCTGATTATTAGCGAATTGCTGTGTTATGTCTGTCATCGTTTAGGTCTATTTGAAGTTTTGGACGGAACTTGGCTCAGTGATTTGGAACTAATTACGAGATAATCGTCGCTATTCTGGCATCCGTAGTTATTAATGTAGTGAACGATTAATCAAAAGATATGACGTATTCAGTACTTAGTATGATTGGCTTTATGATTGAAGGTTACGCCCTCGAGTCTTTTTACTGTTTTGTAATTGGTTAGAGTTTTGAAAATGAATAAAGAGAGTTTGAGTTGGTCTTGACGAACACAGCACGACAGACGCAGTAGAGAGAGAGAGAGCAGTCCTGGAGAGTCGAGAGTGCAGTCCAGGGGCGAGCCTTGAGGCAGTCCAGTCTTGGGCGAGTCTTGGTTCAGCCTTGTGAGAGTCTTGGGGACTTTTCCCCAGGGGGCTGTGTCTTATAGAGTGCTCCAAAAGATCGACTAAGACGAGAGTTGAACCGTATTTCGTTGTGTGTGCCTTATTTGACTGTAAAGTATAAGTGACTTTCCCGATCCCGTACCTCAAGGGGACGAGATAGAGAGACGAGACGAGTTTCCCTCCTGACAAGTGTGGAGACCCCGTGGAAGAGAAATTACCCCTGATATGTTCATCCCGTAGCTGTACACTATTGTCCAATAACACAGGCTACACGTACTAATACAATAGTTGACTACATTTGGCTGATACACTTGGAACAAAACAGTATAAATGCCATCATTAACTTGAAGAATACAAAACTAATGAACCAAACTAGGAGAGTACAGTGTCGTATTGCCGTATCAATCCCGTTCGATCCCCACACTTTACTAACTGAGCGAACAATGGCACAAGACAAACTGCCCTATTCAGGACCACCACATCCTTCAGAGAGTGACTACCATTACATTATTGTTTCAATGTTGCTTTAATATTTAACATCAGCTGCTTGAACGCGATCTTCATTACACCAGCGCGGATTCACCGAATAAAAGCTTGCCCATTTATAACAACCTGTTTTGGTTGGCTGCTGTTGAGCAGAGACGGCGTAACTTCACGATTGACATTTAAAGCTCGTTTCCATCAAAATGCTCATTTCTATGCAATTTCGGCTGAGTCTGATAGTTACCTCACGGAGTCAAATGATTTAAACGATGATAATTAGTTTAATTAATACTGTTTTTTTTATGTTCTAATCCACGATCATTAATCTATTCACTTCCAAAATGTATGGGGTACGACCGACCCCCCCCCCCCAAACTACGGAGCTGCGCCATATAACAATCTGATGTATAACCAAACAGGTAAAAATGGTAAGTCATAATCTGTGTCATTATAGTTTGAGAGAGAAACCATGCAATGCCATTTTGTTCAACCTAGCAGACTTACTTCTTGCAGTGACACAGTGAGTGAGCCGAGAAATATATACCCTAAGGGCCAGAGAATAAACCGATTGATGTGGATGATCACTTTTGTCATGTAGTCTGGCATTTAGATGTCTCATTGAACAATATCACTAAATAATAATTTAGGCACCATACCATAATGGTCTGTACTATTATAATATAGACCACATACTGGTTCGTGACATTTGCACTTTATATTTCCAGTTATAATGAAATCAGCGCATATAATGAGACAAGGATTCACAGGATGAATATGCATCTTTGATATGTAATACTACATGCTCAATATAACATGACAATATAAAAGATCACTAGAAAAGCAACTCATCTGCATTTAGATTTCTTGTACATGTACATTTGATTATCTTGCAATATGAATGCATAAAACAAACAACCTATAATGTTTATTATCCATTACTAAGTGTGCCCTAAAGTGATTACCATTGTTATTGCTCTCATATGATGCTCACTACCATTTGTGCCATATCTAAATGTTTACCATTTGTGTTACATACTGCTCATCATACCAGTTTTGCCTCCCGTTGCTTGTTGACATGGCATCTCGACAATAACATGTGGCTGTTATCATCACCAACTGGGTCTTATCATGGTTTTGTCCAGCCATATTTGTGTCAAATACTGCTCATTATACTATTTGTGCTTGTTGACATAATATATAGGAATATAAAGATACAAATATATGGCATAAATGTCATCAAATATCAACGGTATTAAAATGCACATATGGCATAAATGTCATCTAATATAAAGGGTATCAAGATGTACATAAGGAATAAATGTGATCTAATATAAAGGGTAAGAAGATGTACATATGGCATAAATGTGATCTAATATAAAGGGTATCAAGATGTACATATGGCATAAATGTGATCTAATATAAAGGGTATCAAGATGTACATATGGCATAAATGTCATCTAATATAAAGGGTAAGAAGATGTACATATGGCATAAATGTCATATAATATAAAGGGTATCAAGATGTACATATGGCATAAATGTCATCTAATATGAAGGGTATCAAGATGTACATATGGCATAAATGTCATCTAATATAAAGGGTATCAAGATGTACATATGACATAAATGTCATCTAATATAAAGGGTATCAAGATGTACATATGGCATAAATGTCATCTAATATGAAGGGTATCAAGATGTACATATGGCATAAATGTCATCTAATATAAAGGGTATCAAGATGCACATATGGCATAAATGTCATCTAATATAAAGGGTATCAAGATGTACATATGGCATAAATGTCATCTAATATGAAGGGTATCAAGATGTACATATGGCATAAATGTCATCTAATATAAAGGGTATCAAGATGCACATATGGCATAAATGTCATCTAATATAAAGGGTATCAAGATGTACATATGACATAAATGTCATCTAATATAACGGGTATCAAGATGTACATATGGCATAAATGTGATATAATATCAAGGGTTAGTATATTATACCACTATTTTATTTGCATGAATTTGTTGTTTTGATTGGTCGAAAATGTAAATGGTGTAGTGGCTCAAGAACCCAACTTTTCTATTGATCCTCAAAATGCATAAGGCAACAATCAATGACTGCATATAATTTTTTTTTTAAATTTCATTTTAAATGTACCAACATTATAGCTAACAACAAACTACTTAAATTAACTCTGAAATGTAATAGACATTTATGCCCTATGAAACACCAAAATACAGGCGAAAATTTGTATGTTTTATCTATAATCGTCATATGCTAGTTCCAGGGCCCATTTTGTTTAGTTGCAAGTACTACGTTTCTGATGCTGTGTCACATTTGAACTTGGCTTTTGATTGTTAAACCTTAATCGAGAGGCATAAATGGCGCATAACATCAAGATATACAAAAAAATGTACAATCCCTACTAAAAACACTGTAGTAAAGCCTAGAGGGGCATGGGAGCAAAGTGATGACTCTATTAGAATCTCCCCAGGAATGCCCAATCACTAACTGGCAAGTGTAATGATTACAAGCCATGCATGGCACAGTCCCCGTTAGTTATCAAATTTAAGATATATAGTTTTGTTTATAGTAATATAGCTGGAATATAACCATGTCAGGAATATGATTTTTTAACATTAAAATGATTGACATTTGTATCTGATCGTCAAACTTGTCAAGTACTTATTGAGAGATATTGCTCTGGAACAGCATTCAAAATCAGCCATTTTGAATACATGTATATATATAACATGATGTATAATGAATATATAAAATTAGAATATAATCAGTCAAAGCATTTAAGAGATATGGCTCTAGAAGCCCATTCATTAAAACAAAATGGCCGCCAGACAGCCATTTTGAATCCGATCTGAAAAATAAATGATGTGCATCAGGAACCTGTAATGTCTAATATATGTACCAAGTTTGAACAAAATCCATCCAGAAATGCTTGATATTTAGCACACAAATGGCCACCATTTGGCCATTTTGCGTAGAATCGTCAAACAAATATATCTGTCTATCTATGAAATGATGTATAATGAATATTTAAAATTTGAACATAATCAGTGAAAGCAAGTCAGAGATATGGCACGAGAACCACATTCATTAATACAAAATGGCCACCAGTCGGCCATTTTGAATCTTATCTGAAAAACAAAATTATTTGCATCAAGGTCCCATAATGTCTAATGTATATACCAAGTTTGAACAAAATCCATCTGTAAACAGCCGAGAAATGCTTGATTTTTAGGATTTTTTAGCACAAAAGTGGCCGCCATTCGACCATCTTGAATCAGATCGTAAAACAAAATGATGTGCATCAAGGTCCTATGTCTAATGTATATACCAAGTTTGAACAAAATCCATCTGTAAACAGCCGAGAAATGCTTGATTTTTAAGATTTTTAAGATTTTTTAGCACAAAAATGGCCGCCATTCGACCATCTTGAATCAGATCGTAAAACAAAATGATGTGCATCAAGGTCCTATAATGTCTAATGTATATACCAAGTTTGAACAAAATCCATCTGAAAACAGCCGAGAAATGCTTGATTTTGATGATTTTTAGCACAAAAATGGCTGCCATTCGGCCATCTTGAATCAGATCGTGAAACAAATTGACGTGCATATGTATAATATCATGTATGATGTATGTGTGAAGTTTGATTGTGATTGATTCAGGCATTTCTAAGATACAGGTCCGGACACACGCACAGACGCACACACAGAGGTCAAAACATAAGTCCTCGTTTTCGGACTGCGTCCGAACGGGGACTAATAAACACAAAATGTGACGACTATAATACAATTATTCTGGATGTGAATGAATGAGACCATGCCAAGAACGAAATACAAAGATGAACACTTGGCGGCGCTGTTGCCACTAGAAGTCTTGCAGAGAAGCCATGCAGTCAAGTAGTAGCTCCATATTGTAAAAACAATATATATATATACAGGCATAAAAATAATATTGTTCTTTTTGGGTAACATTATCAACAGGATTTATCTTGCAAAACAGATGCAAATTCAGTCAAAACTGATAAACTATCTTCTACTTAATTCCAAATAAAGGTATATTTGCAGGTTCAAGAGCCTTTGGAGCCCTGAAAATTACGTTTTTGCTTTAATATATTTAGGCTGTTGGCTATACACTGTTACTATTTTGAAGTTCTACTACAAACAAAACATAATAAAAAAGAGATTCATAAATACAAATACGATATTGTATTATTGTTGTTTACGCTTTGATTGGGAATTATCTACGTTTTGGTTATTCAGTGTAAAAATTTCACTAGGAACAAAGCAAAATCCTGGGAGATATTTAGCTTAGAACTTTTTAAAGGCAAATTGTACTTTTCATTATTCATGTACAAATGTAAACATTTTACCCCAAAACCATGGCTCACAATTCTTCTTGACGAACAGCAACACATAATAAAATTGACAGGGTATGTAACAAATGTAACAAATGTGACTCTAATGATGTGGGTGATGAAAAATATTACTTTTTTCATTGTGACAGTTTTTATGAACACAGAAAAAAATTCCTCTATACATTGTTCAAATACTCACCTGACTATCAAACATTACCAAATGGAGAATTGTTTATTAATGTTTTCTCTAGTGTAGACAAATATATTTGTAGTATTTTAGCTAATTTCGTTTTTCAGATTTTAAAATTATTTTAGATTAGTTGTGATACTGTATGTTTCTTACGTTGGACTTTACTCAAGCATTGTTTTTGTGTACGTTCCAAATAAAATATCCTATCCTATCCTATCCTATTAATTCACATACAATGCATTTAAAACGAAAGAGACTGTACTATATGTAAAGGGTAAATTTTATGGTTTAACAATGCTTCTCCCAAGTTTATTCAAACAAAACTACTAGCAATTGCAAACAATTTGGACAAATCTTTTCGTTTGCGTAGATGCGATGGTATAGGTACAGTTATTCTGTTTCCCGTGGGATTTCCACTCTCCTCCAGCAGTATCACATTGTTGGTGTCAAATTTGGGCATATTTCTTAAACCGGGCATCTTAATGCCTACAACTAGAGCCTTTTTCTTTTGTCCCTTGATTGCTAGTAAAACTTTATCTCCAACTTTGGCAACATGCTGCTTGTTGTAAACGTGTATCACTCTTGGTGGTTTATGCCTAGAAGCAGCTCCGAGTGCTGAGTTGTCAACAACTCGTACACGGCTCAATAATATAAGTGCGTTGCTTGGTTGGGTAGTACTGAAATAGAAAATAATCATTTTTATTAGTGCAAAGAAAAAGAAAATGGTTGGTTTGTAAATGCGTGTAATACTTTTCCCAAACAGGAAATATATTGATAAGACAGATGTGAATGACACAATTTAGATTTGTCAACTTTATTCAATTTCTGAATTTCTGTCACTACTATGAAATTTTGTGATTTCCACCGACTCGAGGAAAATTTGTCCCTTGGGGAAATAGAAAGTAGAACAGTTAAAGTGCCACAGTAACTGCCTGTTCAAATGCGCTTTATTTATTGCAAGGGCCCCCACATTGAAAACAACATGGTACAGCATCTGTATTGATTTAATTACTCCAATCATCTTGAAAAAAAGCCAGTTATCATTTTCATTTAGTTTAGTTTAAAATTTCAATTCTTACCTGAAATGATGATGTGGTATTTGTTGCAAGATAACTGATTTACAAATATTTCTGCAAAATATTCCAAACAGTCCCATAATGCAATGTCAATGAAATCCTATATCTTGACCATGAATATCTTTTGCTGCTAGATCCCTGTTTAAAAAATTAATAACAAGATGTCAAAAAAAGAATGTGGCACATACACCATAGATTGTATATTGCCTTGTCTATAACATCTCAAGGAAAAGAGACAAATATCACACAAAAAAGCGGATAAATACTGAAAAGTGAAAAAAATTATCTCCAATAAAATAATGGTTTCCACACTTCCAATGCAGAACAATATACCTGTGTGGAATTAATGGAATCTCTGGGTGAAAGTAGACACAGAGTTATAAACTAATTTAATGCATTGATGCAGTAGTTCGCACTGGTCAAATTTCTGATCTCCACAAACAGCATGGTTTTTCTAATTGATTACTCGTTGAAGAGAATAAATTTCACAATATATAGGTACACATCTTTACTCTGCAGATGACAATTGAAATTATATACGAATATGAATGCTCTATGTTTGATAAAATATTGGATATGGGTATATGCCTCAATTTACTTTCATGCTAATTCTATTCTGTTCAGTGAAATGCGACTATTAACCGCTGCCGCTTGTGTGGATCTCGACTGATTTTGCAGACAATGCAACTGCTCAAGATGGTGGCTCACTCAAAAGTCAGGATAGATTTCGTTAATCAGTGATGTATATCAATTCATGTAATGTAATAGTCTTTATTGAAGTCGTATCCTAAAAATGGACATAGATCTAAGTACAATAAAGCATGGTTGTCATTCCATGTCAGAAACATGATACACTAGAAGATACACTAGTATAAAAAAACTAAACTAAACACAACTAAAACAACAAACTTGCCCGAAAGTGGGTTAGAAATGCAAATTAATTAAGTAAATGTTAGGATTACTTATTTAGATATCTGTGAGGCAGCTGTTTTTTTTAATTTGCTTTCTCTTATGTTGAAACATTCGTATATCATATAAGAGGCATGTAATAAAAATATTACTGACTGAATATGTCCGTTTTTGTCATCAAAGTTCGAGGAGAGTGTTTGCCGTCCTAACATCAGCAAATGATCTCCTGCGCTCTGGTGGTCTGTGATGAAAATTGTATGGTTTCATCTCAGGTTGTTTTTCCAAGTGACTTTCTATATTGTATTTGCTGTACATGTATCAGAAACACATCTCCAATAGATAAAAAGCGGGGGGTACAGTCACTTCGCCCGAAATCCACTTTGCCCGAACTCCTTCGCCTGATTGATTACCAGTTCGCCCAATTACCGGTTCGCCTGTTTTCCTTTTCGCCCGATTTACCGATGTTACACAGTAGGCCTACTGGGGGTTTCGATTCGAAATGTACATCTGGTAAAATGCATAAAATCTACCATATGATCGCATTTTAGTCAGGGTTTTCTTGCCGATGCAAACACTGCAACTGATGTCCGCCATTGCGGGTAGTCATTCCCATTCACAATAGAGGGGTGGCCGACAGGCAATGGGACAGGTATGCATCGGCCGTCATACACAGATTTTTCACTTGTTTCACCATCGGTGTTTGAATAAAATACTTTCACAGTGGTGTCGTTGGCAGAATAATTTCAATCCACACATTTTATGCAAAGATTGACCATTGACGGAACCTTTGTACGCCCTCCGGTGTTGGGAACTTGGAACACTAAGTAGTACCTAAAGCCAACCTTGGCGTTTATCAATCTAATAAAACTCGCAAATCACGACGTATTTTTAAAGTTGTATTTCAATTTCTACGTAGACATTCCATATGTAATACATGTACTAATATATATATTTTTGGTATTTGTGATTTCTTGTAATTGTCTTGTACAGTGTGTGTTTTTATATTGCTCGATTGTATTAGCACCTGGTGTGCTACTTATTTTTATTCGAGGGTAAATAAATAAATGAAATGTAAATGTAAATTATGCATTATATCATTACTTTCATTGCTCCCCCCTTCCAGGAAACAAAAAGTTCATGCAATATTGGAAGTGAAACTGGGGAAAACAAACACAATACTAGTAAAATATTTCAAAAGTTTTTCCTCAACTCAATTTGTTGAATTGTTGTAGCTGTGTTTTACTGTGTCAAGTTACCAAAAAATGCTACTATTAAAGGAAAAATTTAACTAAAGAAACTACCACCATCAAACAAAAAGGTGTGACTGTCCCTCAACTCATTGTTTCCTCCTGATACACAAATGGTATGACCCACACAAGATGGCCGCAACGGCATAAAATTATATTACAACCCCGTTGTAAACTTCCCGTTCGTCACCTTATAAAAACAAATTTTGACTTCTACGTTATCTTGTTTTGACTACACGTAAATACCAAACATACAAGGAATCAGGCGAAATGGCAATCGGGCGAAATATTAACCAGGCGAACAGGTAATCGGGCGAAACCGTTCAGGCGAAATGGTAATTGGGCGAAATGCCCCCAATTCTCAAAAGGGATGTAAACCAGTTGGGCAGGACTCCAGAAGACGTACCTACACTTTATGCCAATTTTTTTTTAAATTATTCTAATTTATTCATGACGTGGCAGTTTCTGTGCTCATGAATATTCATTAATTTGTGGGTGAATACATTCTAAAAGGGGCGATATATTATTTTTTGGGGAAGAATTAGAAAGGGGGATTAGCAATCCTTAGGGGGTCAATACAAAAGAAGGGACTCATTTAGAGAGCAGGATTGATCCTTGTGTCTGTTGTTGCACGTGACCTGCAGCTGTCAACTGTGTTCGTACTTCGACGACTTCGACTGGCTTCCATGTGAGGTAGTTTCTTGTGTTCTGTTTTTCTGACTTGAGTTCTTGATATACAGAAGTTGCTGTTCATGTGTTTTTTCTTGTCTTGTAGGAGTGTTCTGTCCGTGATTCGAACTTGCAATCTTTGAGTTCCTAACGCACTGTCTTGTCCACTGTACCACGAGTGTCTTCACACAAATGATAGGATTTAAGTCCTACTTATAGGATCAATGTTTTCACTAGCATTCAAAAATCATAGTAACCGTACTGGATTTGAACCAGCGATCTTTCACATTGCCTACATTGTACATATCCACTGAACCATATGGGTAGTCATGCAAATGAATGATTTGTTTTCATATTTAGCTTTATTGCAAATTAGTGTTTGCGAAAAAAGACTGGCAGGCATGGGAATTGAACCCAGGTCCTCCTGATCACTGTGTAGACAACTGCCCCACAAGACCACAATTGATTGACTGGATGTGTTTGCATTTGATAAGACTATGGAGTGTGTATATATATATAGAAATACAACATATTTCTATTATTGAGTTACAATTGTCCAAAAAATTGCCAATTTTGTGTTTTTACTTGTGTAAACTATATGCATGCCATAACCCGTTAGTGTACATCTTGCCAA